TTTTTTTTTTTTTTTTTTTTTTTTTTTTTTTTGTAGAGCAGCTGTGAAACGTTTGTTATTTCATGAACGGCATTCAGAACTCTGCAAATAATTCTTTAACATATGTCCGACGTACTTGGGAGTCTTTTTAGCGTTTTGTTAAGTAGGGCTTTTATTGTTGGATATGTGTGCAAGTTACTTCGCTATTCGTTCCTCCTTTATTAGTAATGGGCATTGTTAGTAACACACTTTCTTTGTCCGCGGTCTTGAGTATAAAGTTGTCACTACTTTGAATTTTGAATCTTTAACGGTTTTTTTGACCTATTTTTACATTCTGTGAACTTCTTTCTATTGATGCTATAAAAAATCCAGAACCTGATGTTTTTGACTTGCTGGTATGCAACTGTTTTGTCTTGCAGTTATTAGTTAGGCGGTGAAGTTTTGGTGATCACCCTTAAACAGCTCAAGTTTTGTGTTTTCTTGTAGTATCAGTTGCTGTTGAAGTTTTACAAGTGTTTGGATGGTCAGATGAGTCTCCTGGTCTTTTCGGCATTATTTGATAAAAATACTGGAGTTTTTTACAATTTAAATTTTTCTGGTATAGCAGTGGTCAAGGTTGGATCACGGAGCTGTTTGAGGTCTTATTGAAACGTCGTCTTTGCAGTTTTTGATACTTTTGTTGGTGGCTTAAATTGTCCATGGAGTTTTTGAGCTTGTCAAATCGGGCTGGATAGTTATGGCTAGCTTGTAGGGAGGGTCTAGTTTCTATTTCGTGAGTCAGTATTTGCAAGATTTAAGGGCAGAAAACACGGGTGGTTTAGATGCATGGTAGTTGGCAGAAGGTCAAACTCCTCTCTTGGTAACGACAAGCCAGTGAGCAGCGGGGTCGTGTTTGCTTATTGTCAGAGGTGTCGAGGGAAAACTAAAAGTTTAAGCAAAGCTTTAACTAGGATAGGGTAGATGTGTACTTGCTCATTGCAGTCGCCTGAGGTTTTTCAAACACCGAGTTTGTTCTGAAGTGGTGAGGAGAGTTGCCGGATATGTCGTACTCATTTTCTAGTTTTTACAGATTGCGCGTTATCTATGCCTTCGGAAACCCGCTCTGCTACGAGAGTGCAAAGGTTATTCTACGAACTTTATTGCATTTATTTGTGAGCACCGTTTTGGAATGGGTTAGCAGAACTGCTTGGGAGTGTGGCGATGACAGCGAAAAGCAAGTAGAGCTTTGGTTACCGAGAAAACTACCGAACATTTTGGCAGAGGCGTAAAGCGATTCTGATTACCGACTGCAGCGCATTAAGACAGCATAAGATCTTTGACGGCAGCATCGGGATTCAGCTGCTTTCAGTTTTCGATTTACATTCTTTGCCACGATCGGAAATTGAGTTTACTGCACAAAATAAAAAACTTAAGCAAATCCCAAAGCTCTCACCGGGTCTAGTCATCTGTTTTGAAACTAATTTGCCTGTTTATAATTCTGCCTGATTTTTAGTGATGACTTGGAGTAATTGTGGAGTTGGGTTTTTTTACACAGGGTGGTGGTAATCATTTGAAAGAATTTCTCAACCTCAAAGTGATGTATTGATGTCGTGTGAGATTAGGCTTTGAACAGTTAGAGTAACGTGGATACTTTTTAATGGTAATACATTGCGATAATTTCAATATTTAAGTAAATAGTACATCAGCAGTTGAACTAATCGAGTTTCCCTAAAATCAGACATTCTCTGAATGGACATCATCGAATGAACACGAAATTTTTGCAAATATTTCCCAAAAAAAAAAAAAAACATCGTGTCATCTTCACTGCATTCATTCGTTTGATTCACGAAGTTAGTTATTAAACTATTAACAAGTAGAAGTTACAGTGTAACAAGCGGTTTCGTTAAGCGACCCACAAGGTTCTAGACACTGGAACAACACTAAACTGGATTGCTTAAGTGGAAACACTTTTGAATTGCCCGTTAAGAAATTTACATTCAACAAAGAGGCAACATTTTTCTTTGCGCCGAAGTATTGTACAAACGACGACGGGGGGCGTTAAGAACGGTTGCTGCAGAGCAGAAAATATTTAGTTACAGTTCAGTGAAAGCGCGAAGGTTAGATAAAAACTAAAAACAAGTGCAGCGAATGAGATCTTTGTTTGAACGCTGACCTGAAATATAAATATTAACAGTTCAAGCTTTGTCGTACAATGGGAAATCTCTACCTTTGTCTTTCCTGATCAGCATACAATTGAGTGGTTTTTTTCTTTTGCAGTGGACAAATTTGGCAGAAAATAGTGAAGGGCGACGGGACGAAACGGTTTGCATCGACACCTGCTAGTTGACCACGAACGGATATCTTTGTAACATCTGTATTAGTTGGTGTCAACAAGTTAAGGTTGTTGAATACGAACAGAGAAATATTTTTAATGATTAAAGTACATGAAATGAGAAGAAGGGGAATCAAAATAAACCTAAAAAATCTTGTTTATTAGAACTAACAATTGAACTGGATGTGAAATGCATTTTGCTCTCTTTATTTTTTTTCTGACGGAAATTTGCTCACCGTGAAGGAAAAATTTTCGGACTTTCTTCAGCCGACCAAAAACCAGTTATGATTTATCTGCAGAAAAATTTATGTTGACACGCAACAGTTGAAACGAAACATCTATAAATAGACAATTTTGGCAATAAACAGTGGGACGTTAGTTTCTAAAGCCATGGAGACATCGGTCCGGATAAAGGCTTTCAGATTTGTTGCTTATTCTGCTGTAACATTTTCTGTAGTTTCTGTCATTTCAATATGTATTACTTTGCCGATGGTTTACAACTTTATTGCAAACGTGAAGGGTAAAATGTACAGTGACATCAAAGACTGTAAGGTAATTGCTTAATAATTATAAAATGAAAATTACACATTTGATAGCATAAGAGACCAAGTGAGGATAACTGGTTTGAAGAAGACTTGGTTGCTCTATTTGTAATTATCACTAGTCTTTAAAGCTGTGAACAAAGCTGCTGTGAAAAAATTGGAGGAATACTCGAGTCATTTTGAAGGTAACGGTAAGAGACATTTGGACCGATGTTCAAGGCCTTAGGAACGTCGAAACAATGCGTAATCGGACAACTCGTGAAGCTTACAGCTACAGAGAAGGACCTCCTAGTATGCAACACAGTACTGGAGTCAGCAGTGGTGTTAACAGTGCCTTCAATATTGGTTTCGGTAGTTCGAGTGGCTTAAGCGGTGGGGCCGGCTGCAACTGCCGCTGTACTCCTGGACAGCCAGGGCGTACAGGTGTTGCTGGGAAGCCTGGCCGTCCTGGACGACCTGGGTCACCAGGTCAACCAGGACTACCTGGTAAACCAGC